AAAAAAAAAAAAAAAAAAAAAAGAGAGAGAGAGAGAAAATATTGTATTGCTGTTATTGTGTTATATTATAATGTAGAAGCCATCACTGCAGGCCCATCATTAAAGAAAGGGTCAGCACAGTGTAGGGGAGCACTGGATATGCACTAGGGCAGTTGGCAATTCGTAGCTCTGCTATTACCAGAATCATCTTAGAAAAGTCACAATTTACTTGAGAATCTATTTCCTGTTCATTAAATAAAAAGAATATATTCCATAGTTTATTAATTCTAAAAGTCTACAAGCCATTGATCAGTCTATGAATAAAACAAAATGATATATTGTTGAGATAGAGTAGGAATTAGTTGTGTTTATCTTTGTAATCTTTACAGGGCCTAGCATGGTACCTAATGTTAAATGAAACTATTTTTGGGGCCAGCAGGTAGTGTGGTGGTTGGGACACAGGACTCTCACATGGTCAACTGCAGTTCAAATCCCAGATGTGGCAGCTTGCTTTCTCTCTCTCTCTCTCTCTCTGTCTCTTTCTAGTGAGCTTGTGTGCTTTGTAGCAAAATAAAAAATTAATAACAATGATAAATAAAATTAAATAAGTAGTTCTTTTATTATTTTTAATATATTCAATTGCATATACATCATTTAGTTTGTAAAGGAAATTTACCCAACATGAAATATACCTCAGACCAGTCCAGTTGAGAATACTATACATGTTATCATCGACAGGTAATAAACTATTTCTGTGTCCCAAAAATGTCTTACCGCTCCATTTTTCCCCCTAATTTCCTTCCCTACAATTTTCCCCTCTTCCATCCTCCTTCCACAGTGTCTCCAGTGTCCATAACTATTTTCAATGCTTTTATGCCCTCCAATCTTTCAGTCTTTCTACCACAGAGGGTGGACAGTCAGTATATGTTAAGTGGAGACATTCAATGTCACTCTTTCATAGTCTGACTTGCTTCACTCAGCAATAAATCTAAATAAATCTTTAAAAATATTTTATTTAACTTTATTTATTTTAATTTGACCAGCGAGGGACAGAGCATGAGAGAGAGAAAGAGAGAGAGAGAAACCCACCAAGCCTCCAGGTCTGGGACTTGAACCATGGTTGGCCATGTGGGAGTCCAGTGCCCTTAACCACCACACCACCTGCTGGCCCCAAATCTAAATAAATAATTCTCAAAAAAGAAAAGAAAAAAAGAAACTATTTGGCCCTGAAATGACCACTGTACTCTCACACTGGGGTTCCTATGGACAAATCAAAATCACACCTGTTAGTCTATTTCCATATCAAGTTGCTAAGTTACAGCCAATCACATTAGGCACACTTCAGTCAATTACAGAAAGACCAACTTTTAGACTGTTCATGCAGCCTACTATCCAGCTGTAACCAGTCCAATTATTTCTCTACCTCATTCACTCACTTTTGCTTTTGTACATCACTTTCCCTTTCTTGCACCCATCACTTTCCCTTTTTGGAACTTAAATATCATGTGACCACAAAGCTACCCACAATTCCTTGGATCTGGGAAACTGCCCAATTTGAATCACTCCTTCATCAAACTCTGTTAAAATTTGTTTTGTCTAAAATTTTATTTTTTACAATTTTATTTTTTAATTTAACCCTTTTCATTCAATAAGCATTTACCAAATATCTTCTAGGTTGTAGGAATACTAAGTGGTGGGAATTCAGAGATGATTTAGTCATGGTTTCTACCTTTCAGGATTTTCCAGTCTAGAGGAAGAAAGTATACAGATTATTTATTTAGTTATATATTAAACCATGGTCAGGCATGTGGGAGTGTCCAGTGCCTTAACCACCATGCCACCTGCTGGTCCCATATATATTTATTTAACATTTTATTATTATTATTTTAATTTACATTTAATCAATATATATCTTAACATTGTAAAACATTGCTTTTTCCAGCATGAATACAGTACATATCAGTCAGGACAAAGTCATTGTCTTATATATTATTGTCAGCAAATAACTTTTCATTTTTGTGTCAATCATATTGCTTTTTTTTCCATTTCCCTCACTCCCTCCTTCTATTACTCACCCCCATATTAATATCTTTAATATCTCTAGTATCTACACTTGCCCTTCCTGTTACTGTACTTTCCAAACTCTCAGTTAAAAATATGGAGTGTTTCACGAATTTGTATGTCATCCCTGTGCAGGGGTTGTGCTAACCTCTGTATCTTTCCAATTTTAGTATATATGCTGCTGAAGTGAGCACTACAGATCATTTAAACAACAAGAATTATGACAGAGGTAGGTAATGTATTAAAAGTATATCATAGGCATATCTTCCAGATGTAGAAGGGCTTCCAGAAGGAAAGTTTACCTCTGATGAAACTTGTTTTTTTTTTTTTTTTAATGAAAAAGTGTCATCCTCTTATTTTATTATTAATCTATGCATTTGGTGACAAAGTGAAGGTATTTTACAAAAATCACAATTTTGTGAGTGCTACATATGAAATTTCTGTGTTATTGTATGGTTTTGTATCACATTAGTTTAAATGTATTTCTCTACAACCATTTCAACATAGCTCCTTTAGAGCTATTTCAGTTATCCCTAATCTATGACTTTAGTAAGACCTTGAAGCTAAACAAACAAAATTTCAAATGACTAACTTTTAGATTAATGGAGAAAGATATAGTCATCAGATGATGACTGGAGGTGTTAGTCTCCAACAAGATACTTTGTTGACATGTTTATTCTGATACAGGAGTTGTAAGTCAGAAGTTCATAACACAGGGCAGAATAAGAGTACAACAAAAGAAGCTTCTCCTGGGGCCAACAGCTGGTGTGGTGGTTAAGGGCATTGGACTCCTACATGACCGACTACGGTTCATGTCCTGGACCTGGTGGCTTACTTTCTTACTCTCTCTCTCTCTCTCTAACTCAATTCTCTGTTTCTCTGTTCCTCTCTGGTCAAATTAAAATAAATAAATAAAGTTAAGATAAAACATAATCCTTAAAAAAAAGGAAGCTTCTCCAGTTTAAGCCTCTCATAGTCCTAACTCTGACAGAAGCAAAGCAAGCATCTTTCCTGTAAATGAAATGAGTCTCCAAAATTTTCATCTATCAACAGTTGAGCTTTCAGAGATAGATGCCCAAGTGATACCATTAATATATGTTATTGGCTCCAGTTCCATTGTTACACCTGAAGAGCTTAATATCTAAGTCTGAAGGTGGAAGAGTATACACACACACACACACACACACACACACACACACACACCACAATGGTATAGTAATTGGCAAGAGCAGACTTTGAAAGCAAAGGCTATTTGTGCTAGTGTAGTCCTGTGGAATGTTTCCTTCCACAGAGGATGAGGAAAACAGTCCTGCTAAAGTGAGCAGTAGAATAAGAACAGTCACCATAAGAGACAGAGACATTTTTCTCCCCCACTTACTAACCACTACCCTGTTTTGAAAAGTACATGGTATTAAGACAATTTAGTAGTTGTGCTTTCTTAGAATTATGATCTAGTGCTTCTCCACTTCTTTTTGCACCTAATTTTGCTAGGTCATCTCATCTATCTGGGGTATCATTTTGGGAACCTCATCAATGAGTGGATGAGCTTTCCCAACAACTCTTCATTAATCAATTACTTTTTCCATACTTCCTTTTTTTTTTTTGGAGAGGTTTTTCCTATAGGGCACGTGCACTCACAAGAAAGAGAGACAGAGAGAGACAAAGAGACAGAAAGTGAGAAACCACCCCCCCCAGGGGGGATGGCCATACTGCAAACACTTCTATTGTCCTCTTGGGATCTTGGGCACGCACGCACAAGCACCTGGTGTGAGTTTAAGCCACCGAGTCTGGGACTTGAAGCATAGTTGACTACATGGGAGTCCAGTGACATAGCCATTACACCATCTGCTGGTCTCAACTTTTTCCATACTTCCTATGTGAGTGGCTGCTGCTACTGCTGCTGCTGCTGCTGCTGCTTCCTTCTTTCTTCTTTTTTCTTCTTCATCTTCTTTTCCTCCTCTTCTTCTTCCTCTCTCCTCCTTCTCTTCCTCCTTCCCCCTCCTATTTTTTTCTCTTTCTCTTCTTCCTCTTCCTCCTCCTTCCTGTTCTTTTTTGCATTTTTGTGTGGCCTACAGTGTTTGGAAACATTTAAAAAGCTCTTCTATGGTTTTTCAGGAACCTCCTGAAATGGGGCTGGGAAATGTCCTTTTTGTTAAACAGCGGGAGGAAGTGATTTATTTCACCTTTTAAAATATGAACATTAGCTTTTTCTGGTGAAACACAAACTAACTAGGTCTTAGGGTTGCCTTTTTTGGTTTGGTTTCACTTGTGGGCTCAGAAAGTATTTACTGAAGGTATGACATGCCAGGCCTTATGCCAGGCCTTTTATGCCAAGTTCTAGGGCAGGAATTTACAGAAGATATTTCTTTCCTCTTAGTACACACATACATACAAGCAGGTGTCAGAGACAGACAGGAAAATAAGCAAGAACAGAGCAGTGTAATGAACATTTCAATGGTTCTACTAAGAGAGAGGTAGAGAAACAGAAGATAAGTAAGGTGTCCTCCTGATAAATGAGGGGTTAGAGAGAATTGCTGCAGAAGTTGTTCTTGGAAGAAAAGGTAGTTAGAGCCCTGTTATGAAGAGGTGGCGGTAATGTTAAAGAGAGTAGACTGTACCTGTATATGTACGTAAATGTCATAGAGACACTGAGGACAGGAATTTTTGTTCCAATCAATCAATATTTGTGGAAAGAATTTAAAATATTCCTAGAGACTGCAAGAAAGAGAGTTTCAGAAAGTAGGATATATAACTGTGAAGCTATCCTAGAGCCAATATGTGATGAGCCATGTGTAATGAGCTAAGATCTTAGCACTAATCCCAAATATGTTCTCATCAGGGTACTCACTAACAGAACAATGAGGAGAAAGTAGAAGGAACATAGCCTGAAGAAAGGCGAATTGGCTAGAGAGCTAAGGCATCAGTTTAAGGGACAAAAGTCTCATTTATGACAGGTGAAAGCAGAGTATAACAGAATGTGAAGGCATCTGGAAAAATGGATGTTCAACACATATGTTGGGTGGGGGGCCAAGTAGAGTCTAGAACTATCGACAGTATTAAAATGAAGCAAAAGTATATAGAATTATGTTTAGTTTAAATCCACACTGCAATATTCTATTTTACTTAGAAAATATTTAGCTGTTCTGATTACCCATTAATTAACTCAAATGTCTGTCCACGATCTGGTTGCTTAAGGATCTTGGAAGGAATCCTCAAGCTGACATATTTCAAAGCATAGTTACTATTGGGACCAGCAATTAGCGTAATGGCTATGTTGCTGGACTCCCACGTGGTCGACTGCGGTTCGAGTCCCAGACCTGGTGGCTTAAACTTACGCTGGGTGCATGTGCGTGTGTGCCCAAGATCCCAAGAGGAGAATGGAGAAGGGATTGCGGCGTGGCCCTCCCCTCTGGGGGGATGATTTCTCGCTGTCTCTCTGTCTGTCTCTGTCTGTCTGGCGAGTGCATGCGCCCTGTAGTAAAAACCTCTCAAAAAAAAAAAGAAAAAAGAAAAAAGAAAAAAAGACAATGTTACCAAAAATTAATTTTCATTTTGTAATCTTAGTTTCTGTAAGATGTTTCATTAAAGTCTAGCACACTTAAATTGTTAGCAATTAAAATTTCTTATTTTCTTGGAATTTAAAAATATATTTTTAAAAGAATTAATTTTGTATTTTCATTTATTTATTTTAATTTGACCAGAGAGAAACACACACAGAGAGAGAGAGACAGTCAGAAAGCAAGTCACCAGGTTCAGGACTCGAACTGTGGTCAGCCATGTAGGAGTGTCCAGTGCCTTAATCACTACTCCACCCCCTGGTCTCAGAATTTAAAAATATTCTGTAGCCAAGCAATGGGCCCTATGCCTGGGCCATAGTCCCAACACAAGTCTGACCCTTCTTGCTCAACAGAACACAGAGAAGAAAAGTTCTTGAGAGAGAGGAGAATTTATTATAGTATAGCCACACCAGGAAGACATGTAAAAATACCTTTGGTCAGCCAATTTATGGATGCTTTTATAGGAAAAAGAACAAGGTGGGGAGCTAATGGCTATGTATAGAAAAGCATAGGTCATGCTAGCTTTTGGCTGGGGCATATGTGGCAGAATTTCCTTCATTGTTTCAAGCTTCAGGTTGACCTTTCCTCTCCTTGAAATTCCTAAGAGAGATTTCAAACAAAGAGCATCAGGCTGAGAGAAAACAATTTTGATTAATAAGATGGAGTCAGTCTGGTTAAAGCAGATAGCTATTACACTTTCATTTATATATGTACTTATGTTCTCTAATCAGAACAGTGCTCCTTTAATTTAATATCTTCAGATATAAAAACAGATTTCGTAGACATAATGAGAGAGAAAGGTTGTTCTGAATTATAACCATACAGATACACAGAGAACTTATGACATCAGATCTACAACTTCAGCCACAGAGAGGAGTAAACACAGAAACACAAGTACTCACCAATTCAGATGTCAAAGATATTCATGGTGGCATAAGTTCATAACTGACTTTAGACAAAATAGACAAATATACAAACAAAACTAATAAAGGTATTCTGTTGTTTCTTGTCCAACAGAAAATAAGCCTTTTTAATCCATTACTATTAATCTATAAAATTTAATATACCAATCGAATTATTATACCATAAAACCGAATTCCCAGTTATCGCTGCTACAAAGTAGGAATAACTATGTAGACTGGAAACTAAATAACAATAATGAAAAAAGGGCCAGCCTGTGGTGTGGTCATTATGGCAGCTGGATCTCACATGGGATTTCTTTAAACTAAAGTAACTAAGTTGGTTAAACCTAAACTTCAGTAATAGATACTTGAGTAACAGCCAGTCACGATGACCAACTGTTCAAACTGTTTATAAATGGGCAAACACCAAGCTATAAGAAGTACAGCTGTTTCTCTACCTTTTTTCAGTATGTCATTTTCCTTTTTCTGCCCATAAACGTTATCAGGTCATGTGGCAGCCTGAGTACCTCAGAACCAATTCTAGAGGATGCCCAAGAGTAAGTCGTTCTTTGCTCAATTAAACTGTGTTGAATTAAATTTTGCTGAAGTTTTTTTTTTAACAATGCTTTGTTATCAAATAGAAAAATATTTACTCTTAGTGTAAAACTAGAAGGGAAATCTCAAGACCTTCTTATTTTAATCTATTATTCTTACTGTAAGTGCAGAAACTGAGGCTCGAGAGTGGTTAAGTGATTTCTTTGAGGTCTTATAGCTAGAATGGTAGGGTGACGTGATGTCCAGGGCATGTTAGTCTATCATATTTCTAGTCTAATTTGTCAGCTAGAAGTAGTTTTGTAAACTATTTTTAGAATTATATTTTTGTGCTGAATACTTCCACATGGGCAATCATGGTTCAATTCCTGGACCTGGTGGCTTGCTTCCTCACTTTCCTTCTCTTCTCTCTCTCTGTCCCTCTCTAGTCAAGTTAAATTAATGAATGGATAAATAGGGGAACCAGCAGTTAGCGTAACAGCTATGTCGCTGGACTCCTACATAGTCGACCGCAGTTCACATCCCAGACCCGGTGGCTTAAAACTCACGCTGGGTGCGTGTGCGTCCGTGCCCAGGATCCTGAGAGGAGAATGGAGAAGAGATTGCGGCGTGACCATCCCCCTTAGGGGGTGATTTCTTGCTTTCTGTCTCTCTGTCTCTCTCTATCTGTCTGGCGAACACACGAGCCCTATAGCAAAAAAAAACCTTTCGTCAACTGCACAGTTCGAGGGCCAGATATGTAACTTGAAAAACACATGTAGGGGTTGGGGTCGGAGGGGAAAACAGGCAGGAGGTGGTATAGTAGTTAAGATGCTGGACTCCCTCATGGTGTACTGCAGCTTGAGCCTCTAGCCTGGTTGCTTGAAAATAATACTGGGAGGCGGGGTGGGGGTGGGTGGGAGAGCAGGTGGAATACTGGTTAAGACGTTGAACTCCTACTTGGCCAACTGCAGCTTGAGTCCCTGACCTGGAGGCTTGAAATTCACGCCAGGTACTTGAAATGTGCCCAAAATCCTAAGAGGAGAATGGGAGAAGGGATTGTGGCACTGTCGCCAACCCTGGGAGTGATCTGTCATTTTCTCTCTCTCTGTCTCTTTCTCTTCAGTGGGCAAATACTGGTTAAGACGTTGAACTCCTACTTGGCCAACTGCAGCTTGAGTCCCTGACCTGGAGGCTTGAAATTCACGCCAGGTACTTGAAATGTGCCCAAAATCCTAAGAGGAGAATGGGAGAAGGGATTGTGGCACTGTCGCCAACCCTGGGAGTGATCTGTCATTTTCTCTCTCTCTGTCTCTTTCTCTTCAGTGGGCACCCTATAGCAAAAATCCCTCAAAAAAATAAAAAATCACTCCAGGCAAGTGATGTTTTAGGGCATGCCCAAAATCTCAAGAAGAGAAGGAAGGAAAAAGGATAGCAGCATGGTCAGCCCTCCTCGCTTTCTCTCTCTGCCTCTATCTGGCCAGCCCACTTGCCCTATGGAAACAATGTTAAAAGAAAAGAAAGAAAAATGGAGAAACACTGTAGGGCCTTTGTGGGCTTGCCCAAAATTCCAAAGGAGAAATGGAGGAGAGGAGATTGCAGCATGACTATTCCCCATGGGAGAAGGTGCTTTCTCACTTTCCATTTCCACCTGTCTCTGTCTCTGTATCTCTCAGCAGAGCTCATATGTCCTCTGGCAAAAGTAAAAAAAAAAGTTTCTGTAGCCAACTGAGCCACTGTTATCTCGATTCATATATAGAGACTGTAAGTGATATTTTTGCGACGGGTAAGGTTTCTGAATATCTTTATATTTCAGTAAATGTTAACATTTTATTCCTCTTGTTTGGCAGAAAATATGATTGTGCTTATATTTTACTATTCAACCCTGACCTTTTTATACTTATTGTATTCATTCAACTGTAGTCTCACTGTGTCATTACTTCGTGAAATGTGATAACAAAAAAGAAATAGCAGCATATCACTCTTCAAAAAGATAATTGCCTGCTGGCTCTAAATTCAATTTTTTAAAAAGAACATATGCTATAGAATTTAGAATAAGAAAATCCTGTTGGGACCACTAGTTTGTGTAATGGTTATGTCGCTGGACTCCCATGTAGTTGACTGCAGTTCGAGTCCCGGACCCGGTGGCTTAAACTCACATTGGGTGCGTGTGCATGCATGCCCAAGATCCCCAGAGGAGAATGGAGGAGAAGGGATTGTGGCATGGCCATCCTCCTTGGGGGGTGATTTCTCGCTTTCTGTCTCTCTGGCGAGCGCATGTGCCCTATAGCAAAAACCTCTCCAATAAATAAATAAATAAATAAAAAGATAATTGTCAAAGCTGTAACTCTTTCCCGTAGAAACAAGATGAAGAGTTTTCTCAGCTTGTGTTCTAGGCCCAATTCACCTCCAGTCTTTTTCCTCCTTAAAATAATTTTTTCTTGCAGCTTTTCTTCTGTATATATCCAATCAGTATAAAGCATACACAGGCACTAAAGTGAAATCGTTAAGAAGGAGATCCAGAAAGTATTGGGTCATCAGAAAAGTCACGTCAAGTTTCTGTTTCTTTATGCAATAATGTATCATGACTTTTCTGATGACCCAGTATTACAATGAGACCGAGTGGGCAATGATCTTTTTTAAAAGGTGTTTGCCATAGGGTGCTTGTATCTTCTGGAGAGAAACTGAGTGTAGGAAAGTGAGAAATCACCCCCTAGAGGAAATGACCATGCTGCAATTCCTTCTCCTCCATTCTTTTCTTGGGATATTGGGAACACTCATTCAGATCTGGCATGATTTTTCAAGCAGCTGGGTCCAAGACTCAAACCATAGTAGAACATGTGGGAATCCAGCACCTTACCCACTGTACCACCTACTGGCTTTGAGTGAGCAGTGATCTTAATAATGGTATCATGGTGGTTAAAGAAAGTTTTTTAAAAAATAATTATTTACTTTATTTGTTATTATTTTTAATTTGACCAGAGAGAGAGAGAGAGAGAAAGAGAGAGAAAGGGAAAGTGACAAAGCAAGCCACCAGATCCAGGACTCCAATCATGTTAGGCCATGTGGGAGTCCAGCACCTTAAATGGTGACAGCTGACTGCCCTAAGAAAGGGGATTTTGAGTAATCCCCTCCCCTGTATCTGCCTAAGTGTAATTTATTTGTGGTATTTTCTCGTGTTGATGTATAATCTTACACTTTAAATGGTTCAATGGGAGAGCTCAATGGATTGTGGATCTAGGTTTCAGACCATATCATTTCTATTTTAAAATTAATCCTTACTAATGGAGGTTAACTATCTCTACAGCTTTTAAGAGATCTCACAGGATGCTACCTTCTTGAAATACACAGTTGCAAGAAGAGCCCTATGCTCAATAGTGATTAAAAAATACTTAATTTTATTTATTATTTTTTAATTTGACGAGAGAGAGAGAGAGAGAGAAAGAAAGAAAGAAAGAGAGAGAGAGAGAGAAAGTAAGCCAACAGGTCCAGGACTTAACCCCTGTCTGTTATGTGGGAGTCCAGCGCCTTAACCACCACTCTACTTGCTAGCTCCTTACTAGTGATTTTTAAAAGGTGCTTTTACTTTTCATAGCCTTTGAGCAGATTCCAAGTAAAAACATTGTTCAAATATATCTTGGCAAAGCAAGGTAGCAAACAAAGGATCCCAAAGTTCTGTATTATAAAAAGACTTGTGGTAGGCCAGGAGGAGGCATGGTGCTTACTGTGCTGGTCCACTGCAGTTCCAGTCCAGGACCTGGCAGCTAGTTAGCTTTTTCTCTCTTGTGCATGTGCCTCATAGCAAACTAAAAAACAATAATAAATACAATCAAATAGATAATTCTTTACCTAAAGAAACACACCTGTGGGGCCCAAGACATGACAATGGTTAGGATAGGGTGGGTGGGAGGATTTGCCATTATTTCCGAAAAAAAACCAAATTAGAATTAGCCATTCCCCACACCTTTAAGGCAACGGTTTCAGGAGACCTTCAGCATGCTACAGGCATGGAGCAGGGGCCCTGCATAGACCATTTAGTACAGGTTTGGTTGACACACCCCTGGGGCGCTGTGCCCAGGAGGCCTTTGCACACTTCCGCTCCTTCCCGCCCACTCCTCCCCCACACAGAGCCTGGCCTTTGCAGCTGGGTGGCCTCTATTACGTCACATCCGGTCCTTGCGACTCGGGCTGGCAGAACCCGCGCCATGAAGTGCGTGTTCGTTACTGTAGGGACCACCAGCTTTGACGACCTCATTGCGTGTGTGTCGGTGCACGACAGTCTGCAAATAATCAAGAGCCTTGGTTACGACCGACTTACCCTCCAAATTGGTAGAGGAACAGTGGCACCTGAACCATTCAGCACCGAGTCCTTTACTCTGGATGTTTACAGGCACAAGGATTCCTTGAAAGAAGACCTTCAGAATGCAGATCTTGTTATGCCACCGCCACCTTGTCAGCTCCCCCCGCGCGCCGCTGGACCCTCCTCAGGCTCTTCCCGCTTCTTCGGGTTTCCGCCCCCTCTTCCGGTTCCCCGGCGCCCCTCCCCGTTCTCTTCCCGGCTCCTCCTTTCCTGGGTTTTCCCCTCACCGATTCTCCGCCTCCGCGTCCTCGCCTTCGCTCCTCCCCCCGCGGCTCCACCCCGCCACGCTCGGCCCGAGCCCGCGTCTTTCCCTGCCCGGACATGTACGTAGCCGGCTTCCTTGGGCGACGCGGTGCCTCCTGAGGGCTGGCAGTTCTCTCAGCCCCACCAGTGCGGCAGTAGGAGACCCTTCTTCGGATTCCCTCCTGGTTTGTCATTTCTTTTTCAAGTGTTTTTGTTTTTGTTTCCTCATTTTAACGGGATTGGTGCTTTCCAGACTCTGTCACTTAGATTCCTTAGGGCTAATGAGGCACCTTGTCGGGCCGGGACGGGAAAAAGCGTTGGTTTAGAAATCTAACTGAAATCGGCCGCAGCAAGGCTTATTTGGCGGCTGTGCTCAGGTCTGAACACTTGAGGGTTTGTTGTTCTTCCTGCTGTTTGTACGGTAGCCGGTTTAAAAAGCCCGCTTTTTCATTTTTTCTGTTTTAGATAATCAAGAGCCTTGGTTACGACCGACTTACCCTCCAAATTGGTAGAGGAACAGTGGCACCTGAACCATTCAGCACCGAGTCCTTTACTCTGGATGTTTACAGGTACAAGGATTCCTTGAAAGAAGACCTTCAGAACGCAGATCTTGTTATTAGTCACGCAGGTAAAGTGCCTAAGAATCTCAGGATTCTGTATTTGATAATATGTAACAGACATTTGAAGTTTTGGGAGTCAAAATCTATCCAGTAACTCACTGTAACCTTTTAAATCTTATGATTTAAATGTAACAAGTGAGATCTTTATTGGAAAGAATTTACTTATTTGGGGGTGAAAGAAGGGTAAGAAAGCAGCTTTTACAATAAGAAACCCTAAACAGAAAATAATTGTCCCAGTGAAGTGTATGGAATCATCAACTTGCAATAATTATTTGGGATGAGATCTGAAGGAATGTTCAACCTGCTAACCGGTTGCATTAGTCCTGTTGAAATTGCTTTTGAGAGTTATTTTTTTTCACATTTCTATTAAATGTGAGTGAAATGACTGTAGTAAAAAATACTCTTTAGTGGCGGTGTAGTGTGTAAATCATTGCCTCTTCTTCAGAGAGCCATTCTGATGTACTTAATTAGGCTTCCGGTGCCTTCAGAAGAACTGATTTTCAGAAGTATTTCGGTCCGGTCAGAGTTTCTTTATTGGTGCTCATCACTATTGTAGGCTTGCTTTTTCTACAGGTATTTGGATACAGACACAAAGTACATACTTTTCACATATAGTATGTTGAACCTGGATCTTATTTGCGTTCAAGGCCATTCTCAGGTTTACTAAATGACAAGTGGCATAGCACCAAATCATAGACAGTAATACCTTCAGTGGTGATAATATATTTTTTTCAAGTCAGGTATATATTATTATGCTTAGAGAGGACAACTGATAATTATACTTTTGTCATTTTTTAAAGAGAGTTATTTTAAATTTTGTTCTAGGGCCCATGTGCTCACCAGAGAGAGAGAGAGAGAGAAAGTGAGAAAGCAAGCAAGCCACCAGGTCTGGGACTTAAACCTTGGTCGACAATATAGGAGTCCAACTCCTTAACCACCATACCACCTGCTGACCCCTACTTTTGTCTTTATTTTTTGTAAGACTTATTTTGGGGACCAGCAGGTGGCATAGTGGTTAAAATGCTGGACACTCCACATGGTCAACCACGGTTTGAGTCTCGGACCTGGAGGCTTGCTTTCTCACTTTCCCTCTCTCTCCCTCTCTCTCTGGTCAAATGAATAAATAAAATTAAATTAAATAATTATTTTAAAAAATAATTATTTATCTTAATTTGACCAGAGAAAGAGGGGGAGAGAAAAAGAGGGAAAGTGAGAAAGCAAGCTGCCGGGTCTGGGACTCCAAACCACAGTTGGCATGTGGGAGTCCAGTACCTTAACCACCACATCACCTGCTGTACCCCCTCCCCCTATATTTTTTAAAGAGGTTTTTGCCTTAGGGGCTGGCAGTTGGTGTGTGTGGTGGTTAAGGTCGCTGGACTCCCACATGGATGGACGATCAGTGGTTTGAGGCTTAAGACCTAGTGGCTTTTTCCCTTTCTCTCTTTCTCCCTCTGTCTCAGTCCATTCCTTTCTGGTCAAATTTAAATAAGTAAATACATTAATAAATAAATAAATAAAGTTACATAAAATAATTCTTTAAAGAAAATCTAGGTTTTTGTCTTAGAGCATATGTGCTTACCTTGAGGGGGGAGGGAGAGAGAAAGACAGACAGAGACACAGACAGAGGCAGTGAGAGAGAAAGTGAGAAACCACCCCCCATGGGTCATGGTCATGCTGCAATCCCTTCTCCAGTTTCCTTTCTCCTTCTGGGATCTTGGGCACACACATATGCTGGGTGTGATTTTCAACCCACCAGGTCTGGGACTTAAACCGCAGTTGGCCATGTGGGAGCCCAGTTACATAACCACTAGGCCATCCACTGCCCCCTACTTTTGTCATTTTACATGTGTAATTGAAAGGCCTGGTTTATAGTTTCTGTCAACTGAGTTTTTTAACTTTTGAGTTCTAGCTATAAAGCTTGGTGGTATACCTTAAGTTTTTTAAATTGTATTTATAAACTGTATTTATTATTGTAGGTGCTGGAAGCTGTTTAGAGACTCTGGAGAGAGGAAAGCCACTTGTGGTGGTTATAAATGAAAAGTTGATGAATAATCATCAGCTGGAATTGGCAAAACAGCTACACAAAGAGGGACATCTCTTCTACTGTACCTGCAGGTATATTAGAGGATAATTATTCGAGCTCTTGCCTTAATTTCTCCCTCACTGTTCATACCTGCCTACCTTCCTAACCCATCGGTCTTTTCTGCCTCTTACCTTGTCCTTCCTATCGAAACATTGTATAAAACTCTCTCATTTGTTTGTCTCCGCTTTGTGATCTCTGTATTATATTTCACTTTGTATCTGTGACTGTTTCTTTGCATGTGAGTGTGTATGTTTACTCATCTGGCTGCATAAGTGTCTGGGAAACCAGTTTTTTAGTTCATTATTTAGACTTTCATGATTCAAGGAAGGTGTTTGCTTATTTTGCGTTCAGTAAATTCACTGAATCCCTATTCATTTATTTATTCAATTATACCTAATATATAACACTGTTTTAGGTACTGTGGATAAACTTAAAAGTCTCTGCTGTTATGGTGCTCAAGTGGTAGAAGATTGACAGTAAACAAGTTCACAAATTGTTTAATCAAGATAATTTACATGGGGAAGTATGGTATGAAGAAAGTAAGAAAGGGTGTTATGAAGCTGGGGTAAATGCTAATAGAAATTTGTCAGGGAAGACTTGACAGAGTGCATGATATTTAAGCAGAAACCTGAATTACAAGAAAGCCAGTGACACAAAGCTCTAAAGGCAAAGGAAAAAGCTATTGCAAAAGCCTTAAATTAGGAATGTACTTGGTGTTCTGTGTGTTTGAGCAACACAAGGAGAGTTAGTGTGGCAGAAGCGTGAGTGTGTAGTATAACATGAGGCTGGGTGGGGATAGCGTATGTAAGAGTTCTGATTTTATTGTATGTTCAGTAAGAAACCATTGGAACATTATAAGCAGAGGAATTACTTTATGGTAAGGAGTATTATTTTCTATAAGTATTTTAGAATTCAACAAGAAGTGATCAACATCACAGTAGAAGCTTGAAGAAAATCGCTGGTTTGCTCTCTATTAGTTCTTCTTTGAAGCACTAGAAGTTTTTCAAAGGGCCAGGTCAGTAATTCCCAATTGTTTGACTTCAAAACTTATCATCCTATTTTGATGTTTTTAAAAGAAAATATGGGACCAGCAGATGACGTAATGGCTACGTTGCTGGACTCCCATGTAGTCAACCATAGTTCGAGTCCCGGACCCGGTGGCTTAAACTCATGCCAGGTGTGTATGCGTGCGTGCCCAAGATCCCTAGAGGAGAATAGAGAAGGGATTGCGGCATGGCCACCCCCTGGGGAGGGGGTGATTTCTTGCTTTCTGTCTCTCTCTCTCTGTCTTTCTGGCGAGTGCACGCACCCTATACCAAAAACCTCTCGGGGGGAAAAAAAAAAAAGAAAGAAAATACATCATAGAAGTATTAAAAGATACATATGTTTTTTATGTTATAGTAATTTAAATTTAATTTTAAAATAAAAAATATAAACCTTAGAAGAAATTGGCTAGAAGGAAATAAGCTTTTCCTTTAATTTTACTGCTTCTATCCCTTAGGCATTCAGTAAGTCCTTGTTCAGTTGTTAAATATTTATTAAGCACCTACTATGTGCCACACACTATGAACAAAGCAAAGATTCTTATTCTTATCTGAATAAGAATCTGAAAAGAGACAGATTCGTTGATTGTTTCACTAGTAAAGTTTTTGTGTCCTCATCCTTACAGTGATTCAGTAAAGGGAATGTTAGAGTGGCTCTGTAATATAAAAACCAGTCTTGAAGTGTTATGAGTCAAGGGAGAAGCTATATAATTAGAATTATATATGCTTCAGGTAATGGGCATATCTGCCGTTAAGTATTAATAGTTGAAATTGTTTGTGGTTAACATTTTTCAAAAAGGAATAAACTAATTTTTTTAACTCCCAGAGGGTACATATGCACGCCACAGAGAGGAAGTTGGGGGAGAAAGCACCTCCCCTAATGGAGCATGGTTCTGTTGTAATCCTTCTCCATTTCTCCATCCTATCAGAGTTTTGGACATGCACATGTGCCTGGCATGTTTTTCAAGCTGCCCAACAGGCATGAATGGTGCAGTTAGCTATACAGTATCTAGCTCCCTTAACCAAGTCATTTTATTCAGATGCTTTTTTTTTTTTCTTTTTTTGGAGAGGTTTTTGCTACAGGGCGCGTGCGCTTACCAGAGAGACAGGAAGTGAGAAATCACCCCCCAGGGAGGATGGCCAGGCTGCAATTCCTTCTCCATTCTCTCTCAGGATCTTGGGCACACACGCACACACGCCCAGTGTGAGTTTAAGCCGCCGAGTCCCGGACTCAAACTGCGGTCGGCTACATGGGAGTCCAGCGACATAGCCACTATGCTAACTGCTGGTCTCTTCCGTTTTTTTTTTTTTTTGGAGAGGTTTTTCGCTATAGGGCGCGTGCGCTCGCCAGACAAACAGAGATAGACATAGAGACAGAAAGCAAGAAATTACCCCCCGGGGGGATGGTCATGCCGCAATCCCTTCTCCTCCATTCTCCTCTCGGGATCTTGGGCACGTACGCACACGTGCCTGGCATGAGTTTCAAGCCACCGGGTCTGGGACTTGAACTGCAGTCAACTACGTGGGAGTTCAGCGACATAGCCATTACGCTAACTGCTGGTTCCCTCTTCAGATGCTTTTGATGAGTATTTTCATTCTGAATGTTAAATCGGCTTTGATTTTATGCTAATACATTCAAGAAGGTAAAATACTGATTTCACAAACATAACCTGAGGTTTTACTCTGATTGAAAAGGAAACCATACAGGTCAGCAGTTTGTTTATTTTTTAATTTTTACAGTTTTAGAGGGTTTTCTTGGGCCAGCCTGTGGATAGTGTTTAAGGCAGCTGGATCCCACATTGCCAACCATGCAGTATGAGTCCTGGCCTTGGTGGCTTGTGTGTGCCTGCCGAAAATCTTGAAAGGAGAGAGAAATGGAGGAGAAGGGATTGCTGTATCCTCTCCTGGAGGGGTGGTTTTTACATTTCCTCCTCCCTTTTCTCTTTGATAAGAACATGTACCTTCTGGCAATTTGGAAAAAAAAATAAGGCAGCTTTTTTCTTATGTTGATTTCAAGTTACACACATGAAAACAGTAAAAATCAGTAGTTGGTTGTTATTTTCAGATAAATCATTCATTCTTCCAAAACATAGGCAGGGTTCTGGTGTCTGTTCTAATTCAAATGGCATGTTTAAATAAATTCCTAGAATACTAGTTTTATGTTGTGGTTAGAACCTTGGTTAGAACTTTCTTTCCAACATGCTTTATGATTGTATATTGTTTAATTATATATTGCAAACTACTGGCAAAAAAAAATGTTACCTCACAATCTTCCTGCATGGTCCAATCGCCTGTCCAGCTTATTTTCTTCTCCAGCAGTCATTACTTTCGGTTTCATTTATTCTGTTTTCATAAATAAACTAATGTTATTTTATTTCATATCTGCCCAGGCCTGACAGATGTTACAAAGCCATGTGAACACATTCTTTTATGAAAAAGCATTTCTGAAGTATTATACTTAAAAGAAAAAACATCTGTTGAATTCATATCGACATTTGTAGTGCTCTTTGTATTGCTTTAATAATCATATGTATACCTATAATATGAAAATATGTAAAAATCCACATGTTCAATATGAAAAGCATCACTTTATTCTTAAAAGTTAGATTTAGTCATCAAGTAGGCAGCAGGTGAATTATGGAATTTTTTTCCCATGTTACCTAATATTTTTCTTCTTTTGTTTTAGCACGCTTCCTGGGCTGTTACAGTCAATGGATTTATCAACACTGAAATGTTATCCTCCTGGCCAGCCAGAAAAATTTTCTGCATTTTTGGATAAAGTTGTTGGATTACAAAAATAAACACTAAACTCTCAGCACTTTTAAAATATCCCCTAAATCCAGCCTATGAAATGTGATTAAATCAAATTAAATATATCTGTAGACTAATATAAACTAATAAACATCCTACATATATAGAATATATAGAAAATTTATGATACGACCATTTGCATTTGGGTCTAAATTCTAATTTGGTAGTTAAGTAAATTTACTAGATTTTCCTTGATCTTCAACACATAGTAAGCATTCACAGGTTTTGTCCTAGAATTTCAAATGGATTTAGAATCATGAGAACAGTGAATGAAATATGAAAAATGCAACAAGAACCATAAATGTAATTAGTTCAATGTTTCTTAGAATCAAAAATGAAATAGTAGCAACTTTGAAAAATTTGGGCAGCCAAGCTCGAAGCCTAGCTGTTAAGTGAATGGGCTCACACATGGCTGACTGGTTCAGATCCTAATCCTGGTGACTTGAAAAACATGCTGGGCTATGTGAATGCATGCTCAAAATCTAGACAGGATAGAGAAATGGAGAAGTAATTGTGGGATGCCATGCTCCATTGTGGGATGGTTTCTCTGTTTCTCTGTCTTTCTCTGGCAAGAACACACATCTTGCAAATAAAATTAATTTTTCCACTAGAGTCAGAATATTTAGCTTCCAAGTCCATGGAACCAAATTAAAAAGAAAAAAAAAAACAACCCTCCCATCATGATGGATTTTGTGCTCTGTGAAATAT